GTTATAGAGTAGAATAGATTTGTGGAAATTAAAATTAGAGATTAAAATCCACAACCATTAGATAATTATTGAAGTTATATTCAGCTATGTTAATAGTCAAACATTTTTAAACTAAATAAATTTTTCACTAATAATATTTAGAAAATTACTTAATATCTATGACTTAAAAAAATTGCGATAGCTTTTTTGTAGCTTCACAAGAATAATTGAATTAACCATTACTTGGCAAAAGTGATGATGAAACTTCTGGAAATGGCAAAAAAATAAAAGCTTAAGTAAGTAAATAAATATTTGCTGACAAATTGTTTGAATAGAATGAAAAACCAGCTAATAAAATTTTTTGGATAGAAACAATGTTCGGATCTTTAGTTTGGGGTGTCTCAAGTTTTATTTATGGACTTTTAGATAAATAAGATTTCGCTGTAACTTGTTTATCTTGGACAGGGTTTATCTTTATAAGTCTGTCATACAAAATTTTCGAGATTTATTCTACACCTAAGTCTTCAAGATAAGATATTTTTGAAAGTTTCATTGGCTAAATGAGAAATAAAGAAAATAGATGGCACGTAGCATTCAGATCTATTAACTTCTTCTTAATGATTTGGCTTGTTATCTAGATAGGTGACTATTCACAGAGAGCAAATATGAACTATGGAATTATATTGAGCCTTAACTGTCTATCTTCAGTGTTTCTAGCAATAATTGCTTGGATTTTTTTCGGAGAGAGATTTGGTATGATAACAATATTAGGTATGCTAATTGTGTTTTCAGGAACAGTTCTGATTCTTGTATCAAGATCTGATCCAAAGTCTGAAGAAAACTAAAGAGTCAATATATACTCTGAAGAAGATAGAACCTACTACAGATATTTGGCAATTATAATGGGAGTTTTATATGCTTGCATTGGTACAATTAGAGTTATTCAGGCAAAGTTCTTAAATAAAAAGAATGGATATTCCCCTATCTAGTTCTCAATCGATGCTGCTTTTGTTTGTGGTATGATTCTATTTTGTATTTCAGCATACTACTTTGCAGTTGGACATCCTACTTACACTTTATACAACTTTGGAGTTAGTTTTTTGGCTTCTAGTCTCACCCAGGTGTGGAGTACAGTACTTCTCAGAGCTATTGTAAAAGGTGTTGCTGCCCCAACATCTGCTATTTCAAATACGAATCCAATTTACACAACTATATTAACTGCTATCTTCCTAGGATTGACTCCTAACATTTTGTAGTTTGCTGGAATGCTATTATCAACAATCGGAGTGGTCATTATGATTCTTCTGAAATGATGATTCATTAATTAGGGTAAGAATTTGTTTGAGTTTAATTAAGAGCTGATGATTAGCCATTAATTAAAAAAAGTATATTTTGTTTAAGCTTTTTTATACGATTGAATCTGACATTGAGGGGTTTTGGGGTTTTGGGG